AATATCAAATATTTTTATGTATAATCAATGATTAATAACTTATTTTACTTTTTGAAAATTTAGAATCAGTCCATATGGATAATCAATCTTACTTAAGGATATTAGAGAATTTAAGTTTAATTTAAGATGTATTGTAGATATGTACATGTTCACATATAAACAATTAAAGAAGAAGCAACTAAAACTTGGGTTTCTACTACAGACTGTTTCTTCTTTTTTTTTATAGAAACTGTAGGGAAACAAAGTTCTCAATATCTCTTGGGTATGTTTGTTTTCTTTTTTTGGTTCAGAAATAAGCTAGGGTAAGTAATGATAAGAATGGTTATAATGATTCAGATCAAGTCAGCTTTGCACTGAGTTGGAACGACCAAAGTAAAGGTACTTACTTCTTAGATGAAATTTCTGCAAAACATATCTGAACATTATGCATTGGAAAGTGAAAAGAGAACGCAGTTCTGTTCTTTTCAGAAGTGTGGTCACAAAATTGTGCAGGTTACCAAAACCCTCTCTGGTTCCTTTATGGGAAAATGTATTTATTTTATTTATTGATTTTATTCCACTTTCCCACAATATTATTCTTTCGTTGGAATTTCTAGGACTAATATTCTCATCTTTATTGTAATAGTCATAGGATTTCCAACTTTCTTTAGTTGTCTGTTGATCCAGAATCCATGACAAAATCCCAGTGGACAAAATCCTAGCCTCTTATCCCAAAAGTGGACATAATCCTGATCTCATATATGAATAATAAGATTAGGTTTAAAGGCCATTAACCTGTTATACAATCTAATATACATTGTATTATATTAAGATTACATATACATATATTTTTTTCATCCATTCTTTACAATTGATCATTCATAATTATGCATATATGAATGGAGCATAAATTTTGACATTGGAGTGTATATATTGGATATTGTACATATAAGTGTATATATTGAAAATTATTATTATTGTCTCAATTTGATACTAAAATTTCCTTGAATTTTCAATGTTAAATTTGTTTTTTTTTTATATACTTTTATTTATGAGACTGGGATTTTGTCCATGTTAGGGATTTTGTCCATTGGGAATTTTGTTCATTGGGACTTGTCATGTTACCATTGATCCAGGTAACTTTCAGGAAATTTCAAACTGAATCTTATATTTCATCTACTGGAGTAGATCGCCCTTGTTTCAATCTCCATGTTTAGGGATATCTCTTCTTGTTCATTTTTAGTACTGCTGTTTTCACTGTGTCTGAAAATACCTGAAGAAGGCCAGATAACAGAATAACTGAAACGTTATGATCATAACAACAAAGATGGGGATAATAGTACAAATCCTCTATCTTTATAAGAGCCGGATCAAGCCTGTTGCTATATTTGGGTGGGAGCTGCCCAGGCTTCACTTTCTAGTCTTGATAGAGTTTAAAAGTGGAGAAGAATTATTTTCCACCCTCCAACCTCTCTCTCACAGGCAGGATGTGGCAAGTCTCTCACTACTCTATTGATACTAATATGGAAAGTGCTCAGACAAACTACATCCCTTGGTTCTGCCAGGTCTAACCATCATGGCTAGGACCCACCTTAGCACTTACATTGTAGCAAACCACCCACATTCCCTCCATATTCCATTGGTGAGAAGTAAGTTCCACTTGAACAGCTTCTTCTCGCAAACCACTGCCCTGTGGAACAGACTCTCAAGAGAATGTTTCTCTGATCATTACAATCTTAACCTGCCCAAGTCTAGAATTAACTATTATCTTCCACTCCTATCTATATAAACATAACCTTGAGTGGCCCCTGGGCCTTCTACAGAGTGAACCTTACTGTAAAAAAAAATTAATGTAATTTTTGTTTGTTAAAAATAAAAAAAAAAGAAAATATCTTAAAATATTTGGAGTCTCTTTAAAAATGCATACCAATTCAGAACACAAAGTGAAAATATCCGGTAATCAATGATAGCAAGACTGTTGAGTGTTTCACAGCTTGGAATAATTTAAAATGCCTTCGAGCCGATTTGCATTGATTTTTTTCAGTGTAATAATACATGAGTCACAATCACTCAATGAAAATTTGCCAGTAGTTCAAATCTATCTTAATCCATGAAGGTCAACCTCTTATAATGAACAGAGGATCAGGAAACACAGATAAGGTTGAGATGATAGAAACATAACCAAAAACAAGAGGAAATGTTGCATGTTATCTCATTCTAAAGTGGACTGGGAGTGCTGGTCATTGAAATCACCTTTGCCTTAGGTTGTATTGTCTATCACAATTCTATTTCTAGATAATCTCAATCACAAGGGTTTCTTTGCTCTTTTTCAGATCAATATGTTTTTACTGGAAATACCCATGAAAATTTCATGGTTTTCCTATTTGAATTTTCTGATAAAACTTCATTCTTAAGTTAATGAATGAATAAACTCATGATGAGTTGTACGACAATAAAATATCCATAGAAATATTACAGTGTTAAATATTTGGGCTTAACAACTTTAAAAAAAATATTTCAATAACAGTTATAAATATGAATGCTTGTCATTATTTTATGAAGTAAGTGGGTACAAATAAAAAGATTTGAAATTAATATTTCCATTTCATTGAAACAGATGTTAAACACATGAAAATATTGTTGCCTCTTCTATCTTCCTTTTTTTCTTTTTCTCACAGAAACCAAGTAGTGTCACTAATTTGTCTTTTTAGTCATTCCATTCTTTCCAGATGATCAAAATGGAACAGTTCATTATTTATGAGGTATTGGCAGGAGACATTAAACACTTCACTCTTTTTTTCTTTCTTTCATTTTGTCACTGAGACCAAGTAGCATTTCTGATATGTCTTTTTCTGTCTTTCCATGTGAATAGAATAATCTATTATTTCTGAGATATTGACAGGGTATAACATGCTAGCTAAGGAAAAAAACAAACAGAATTATAATGAGAACTTATTCCTGATTCCATCCTAGGCTGTTGAATTGACTGATCGCTATGGTTTAATTAACAGGATATACTAAACTCTCTAGCCTTTGCTGGCAGCCAGTCTAGGAGGAAGATAACTCTTAATTTAAAACAATGGAATAAGGCAACAGGAAATCACTCAATTATCTTTTCCATGAAGTCATGGCAATTTGCACATAATAAAGAAACAGAATCTGTAAAGAGTTATGATCACCTACATCCTGAAAGGACATATTAAAAAGTTTATTACAGTACTTTGTTGACTTTATGGTAAAAAGAAACCTTAGCCTATCAAAAAAACTGCAGTATATCACTTTATTTAGATCTTTAGAAAATATCTATCCATAGATTCATAATGATGCAAGTTCTCTCTCTAATGTTTTTTTTTTCTCATATTCTCTGATACTCGGTAATCCCTTGCCTTGCTTAGGGTGAAATGATTAAAAAATAGCTATCCATGGATTCATATTATTGATACAAGTTCTCACTCCTTAGTAATGTTTTTTTTTTATCATATTCTCTAACATTCTTGCATTCTAACCCCCTTGCATCTTAGTGGCTTCATTGTCTTGCTTGGGGTGAAATGATTAAAAAAAAGTTTGATCTCCCCATCTATGTCACTTTGCTGATAGCAACAGAGTCAAGCTTCAAATCTAAATTATCTGTCTCTTAAAATTTAAATACAGGAGACATCATAAAAATGACTTTGAAGGGTTGCACATTTCTGGGTTTTTTTTCTGGTTTTTAGTTTTTACTTTTTTCCTGTTCACAATAAGGGAAATTAGCTCTCATGACACAGATATCCATTTCAAGTTTATTTACACTGTGTGTGTGTGTGTGTGTGTGTGTGTGTGTGTGTGTGTGTGTGTACTTGCATGTATATTTTAATTCAATAATAGCCCTAAGAACTTTTAAATAATTATTTATTACCAAATAATTTCCTAAAAGTTCAATGAAAATTTATAATTATCTAATCTTTTTTTAGGGTTTAAATTTTTTTTTATCTTCTTTCTAAATTTATGATTTTACTGTTCAGCCCATGGTAGGGGTTGTCCAAACTGTCTGGGAAGGGGAATGTATTATTCCAATGTGTTATTTCAAACTCAGTCACATTGTGTATATATGTTTGTATATGTGCTTGTGCATACATTAAATGACACAAGCACAAGTAAATCACTCATGCACACAAACACAGACATACTCATATACATTATATCTGCACATGCAACATTACACATAGACAATGTAATAGACAGAGAATCGGCTCTTCTTTTGTAATATTAACATCTATTAGGTTGAGTCATAAGTAATTTCCGTTTTGGGGAACCAATTCTAATGATGAATGTATCATTCTTTCTAACTACTTATCATACATGACAGTTAAGAATAAATTTGGAATATATGCCTTAGATTTTTGTACAGCAGTGGCAGTGTACAAAGTAGATTAAAGAAAAGTATCGTTCACCTCAATGACAACACCTCAATAGGAGTAATAGATAGGTTTGCCTCTCATCCAGTTCACACTCCTCCCTGATCTTTGGACAAGAATAGAGGTTTATCACTTGTTTCCTGTTTAGGATTAGGTTTCTGGTTCCCTCTAAAGTTTCTTTCCTTCTCTTTCACTTCCAGTGGCCCTTTGCATGTTTGTGGCATTATCCCCTTGTACCTTGGGGTGGTGCCTCTTACTCTGTAACCTTCTGCTTCGAGTGGCTCTTGGGCCTTGTACAATGTGAACATCATTGTAAAAAAAGTTTTAAAAAAAGGCTCCATACAGCAAGAATAACAAAGGAAAACATTTTCAAACTCAGTTGGTTTGTTCTACCCCACCCATTGCATTCACCTGACCATGCAAAACTAATTATTAGCTCTACAGATTGCTGGAAAATGCTTTGATTGGAAAACTTTCTCTAATGAAAACCAGATTCAAAAGTGTGTTGAAAAATTTTTCACATCAAAATTTAAGGAAATTCTATTAAAATGGTATCAAAGAGTTGTATAAGTGACAACAAGTCATTGCAAATAATCATGAAGATATAATTCACTAAAATTTATTTGTACAGCCATATCACATTAAAAACACCAGTTCTCATCTGATCACCAAAGTTAAGCAACATCCAAGCCTGGTCCATACCTAGATGGGTGACCACTTGGGAATAACAGGTGCTGCAAAATTGGATGTGCAGGTGGTGTGATGTATAATGGCTTGGAATGAGAAATTGGAAAATCAAGTTCAAATTCTAGTCGGGTTTGTTATATTCACTTATGCGCAAATACCCTTAGGAAAGGCATGAACCCATTTCCTCTCCCCAGGTATGGGTTAAATGATAGAATAGACTGGGTGCTAAAGCTTTGGTTGGCAACCAGTCTACCATAAAAGTATTGGGAACCTACTGTGGAGATTCAACATCATGCATGGCACCTAAGGAAGGAAGAAAAATGTAATTGTATTTTATTTTTTAAGAATAAAGTTGATAAACAAAAACGAAAATTATTTATGATTTAACCTAATATATGAAATATCATGCACCAGGGTACATAAGACAGATTTCAGTTTTTCAATTACTTAATATTCAGTAGCTTAGTTTTGACCAGTTTGTTTATCAGCTGCCACATCTTATTATCAAGAAAAGACTTACAGCCACATCATGTTGAAATACCACTTCCCGTTCAATCACTAAAGTTAAGCAACATAGAGCCTAGTCAGTACCACTTGGAAATACTAGCTGCTGTAAGCTTGGATGTGCAGTTTGAGTAATGGGTAATGGCTCAGAATTCTTGATAGGAGAATCGAGTTCAAATTCCAATCAGGTTTGTTATATAGACTTATGCGCAAATACTCTTGGGAAAGGTATGAATCTATCTCTTCTCCTCTCAGCTATGGGTTAATTAGTAAGATTTGTATCACTAAAATTATTATCTCTAAAAAATAAAACTACTTACAAAATATTTAGATTTCGGAATTAGATAACCTATAGAGGCTGATATACCAACCAACCAACCATATACCAAAACAATGATTGGTTATTCCAACAGGATGTCATTGGGGCCCCAAGTTGCCTAAAATTGGTTTGGGGTGAATTCTGGATATGATTGATGAATGGTGTGACCATCATGTTTGCCTAGCATGAGCCCAATTGAGCATTTATGTGCTATAGTAGAGAGGTCTGTTCATACACATCATCCTGCATTTACATATGCCAAGGAGCTGTGAACAGACATCTAGGCAGCTTGACTCATCATATCTCCAGTAGCTTAGTTTTGACTAGTTTGTTCATCAGCTGCCACATCTCATTATCAACAAAGATTAGTTGAAAGTTCCATTATGTCTTCTTTTATTGTAGCTAAGTTTTAATTGACTTAATGTAACAAGTATGAATGCATAAACTGAGAGAGTAACAATCAGCAGTAATGTTGTTGAATGTTTTGAAATTCTTTTTCTTTGTACTTTGTTATACAGAATTATCATCACAATTGAACTCATGAATTTCTTCTTGGGAGAATTAAACGGGAAATCTTCCCAGTAATTTTATTATCCTGACAGGAAGTATCTTGAGAGAATTTTGCAATGCAAATGGTACATTCAAAAATAGAACTTTGTTGACAAGAATGGAAATAATTGATGGAAATATTTGACTAATTCAAGATTGGAGAGTAGATTAGAAGTAGATTTGTTGGTGCTTATTGTAATAGACAACACCAAATATCAACTTCAGAAGTTTTATTCTGCTAAACTGATTGTTAATAACTATTTACACTATTTACATTGTTCAGGCTGTTGTCCTCATCTTTATTGTCATATTCACAATGTTTCGGCAGTTGTACGCTCTGATCTTCTTCAGTTTTTCTGATCATTAGTAGTTAAACAGCCTTTTATACAGAGTGGTTAGTATTGAAATGGGTAGGATGAAATAGTTCATTATTATCACACCTATATTCTTTGATGTATGTAAATGTAGTATAGGGAAGTGGGATTGGTATTTTCAAATTCCAGTCATTGCATACCCTTGGGAAAGACATGAATCCATTTTATCATTTGCTCAGCTATGGATTAAATAATAGAACAGACTAGGCTCACTAGATTTGATTGGTAACCAGCATAAGAGAAGGGCAACCCTGAATTCAAAACTGGTTGTATGTGAGGTTAATTACTCCTCCTTATAAAAAAAAAAAACACAGCAGCACCTAGTGTAGTGATTCTGTGGTCTTATATTCCAACAGGAAAGTCTATAGGAGTAACATACAACTGACATATTCTTTGCCTTGGTTTTAATATTAAATGTCATATCACCTATGGAACTGAGGAAATTGAAATAAGCTATGACGAAAAAAAAGAGCCATACAACTGTTGAACTTAGCATGTCTTGGTTGTGCAAAAGATGTTATCCACTGTCTTTCCATGAATTCACTCAAAACCAGTTATGCATGGGTTTAGTAACCCAACTGTTAAAAACAACTACTTGCTATAGAAACCACAGCAGCACCTACTGTAGTGATTCTGTGGTCCTATATTCCAACAGGAGAAACTACTTTTTTAGTATACAACAGACATATTATTTGGTTTTAACATTATATGTCATATTCTTCATCTATGGTACTAAAGGAACCCAAAATAAGCTATGATGAAAAAGTCACCAACTTGTTGAATTTAATGTCTTGGTTGTGCAAAGGATGAGCAATTAGTGAAATTGTTATCAGAAGAGAAATTGGTACCCATGACTAGAGTTCAACTTTTAGCTTAGTCTTTTGTATTTACTTTTGCACTAATGCCCTTGGGAAAGTTATGAATCCATATCTTCTCTACCATCTGATACAGGTTAAATAGCAGCTTAAACTGAGTTCTCTACCCTTGGCTAGTATCCAGTCTGAGAAAGACAAATCTGAGTTCAAAACACTCCATTATCTTTTATCTTTTCACAGGTAATAAAGAAATGGTATCTGTTGTGAGCCATGATCCTAAAGGGAAATGGCATTTAAAAAAAACATGTATTAGTCAAAATTTCTAGTTTTTATAAAATAATCTTGCTACCTTACTCAAAAAATTACTCTAATTAAATATATGGTGTGAGTAAATAAAAATCATTTGGTAAATTTACCCTAAAAAAACCTACAGAAATATCATATAGGTATAAACTTGAGATCTGACCACTTGCTGATACACTATCTCTGGATATTGAATGGAAATTCCAGTATTTCAGAACTGACTGTGTAACAGAACAAATTAGAAGTGAAGAGGAAAAATCACTTAGTACAATGTCACAGACTCAAATAAGGCAAGAAAAAAAAAAGGTAGTTTTCCACCTTGCTTGGAGAGAAATAATTAAAAAAAAAAAAAAAAAATAAAAAAAGAGACCAAATCAAATGTTAAAAGCATGTTGTGGTAGTAGGATAAATCAGATGTTAAAAGGTGAGAGGTGGTGGCTAAATCAGACATTAAATTTAAAAAATGCCTGAGTTAGTTTTTTTTTTATTTGATTCTCTCATAAAATGAACATTTCTTTTTAGGCGGTGGGGGTGCTATAAAAAGAAAACTACAATACATATCAAATCAGCATATAATCACCTTTGAAATTGTCCCTTTCTGGAGCTGCACACTTTATCCAGTATCATTTCATGAATGGAAGCATTCCTGGAATTCCTTTTTTGGGATAGTGAGCAGATGCCTCGTCACATTCTCTTGGATTGCTTTGATATCTTGAAATCTTGTTCCTTTCAAATGGGATTTGATTTTTGAAAAGGAAAAAGTTGCAATGGGCAAGATCTGGGGAATATAGGGTTGTCAGACCTGGGGAATGTTGTCCTTAGCCAAAAACTGCTGCACAAGCCATGGTCACTGATGAAATCTCTGTGGTATGGTGAGACAACTATACTGTACCCACTTTCCTTCTAAGCACTACTGCAAACAACAGAAGTGAGTGAGAACATTATAACTTAATGTGTATGCATGACAGCATTTAAGGTCAATCTGTGTCAATCTGCATACTTTAGTTCTGTTACCATAACAACAGTCCTAACACTTTTTAATCAGACCTCATATATTATAAATTGTAAGGATTTTTAGTTTTGATTTTAAATACAAATTTGTTTTACATTTTATTTTCTCTTGTGCTTATTTTCTGGAATGAGACCTATAGACATTTCCAACAAATAAGATTTTATATAAATTCTACAAAAGTTTTAGAAGCTAATATTTTAGGGAAAAACAAATTGAAAATGAAGTTTTGATTTATTTAGAAAATTAAAGATAGTAATGATTATGTAAAAATTTCAGATGAAGTAAAGAGACAATATGAATAAAGACAAAAGGAAACCTTAACTTATCATCCCCTGCTGGACTTTATCAAGGCAAATGTAAGGATTTTATTTTGTGACAAGAGCAAAATTTTATGACCCCACTTCTAGAAAGGACAGAACATCACTCTTTCCAATTCCTAACACATAGTATTCAGATATGTTTTTCAGAACCTTTCCACTGATGAAATAAGTACAACTTTAACTTATGTTGTTCCAACTCAGTGCAAAGCTGACTTGAGCTCGACCATTTCAACCATTCTTATCATTACCTACCCTAAATTACTTCTAAACCAGAAAAAGAAAATGGACATACACAAGAGACATTGAGAACTTTGTTTCCCTACAGTTTCTATATATAAAAGAAAGATTAAACAGTCTGTAGTAGAAACCCAAGTTTTTGTTGCTTCTACAAAAAATTGTTCATATGTGAACACACACACACACACACACACAATGCACCAACACACAACCTTTAAATTCCATACTATTCTACCATAAAAATTTATTGTCTTTCAATTGTACTTATTTTCTGGAATCAGATCTGTGGACTTTTTCCACAAATAAGATTTATACAAATGTTTTAGAAACTCATGTTCTTTTTGGGGATGGGATTGAAAATGAAGTTTTGATTTATTTTTAAAATTAATAGAAGTAATGATTTTAGACAAACAATACAGCTTATTTCAATTATAGATTGAGGCCAAGAAGACAAATTTAGTCTTCTGTTTAGTAGTAGTTTTAGTATAAAGTGTGAGAACTGAAGCTCCCCAGCACCCCTTATAGTGCTATGGATGCAACACTGTTGATATGAACAGCCTTTTTCTACAGAGATGTTAGGTTTTGTAATTATTTTTGGTGATTAGTCATAATCACACCA